ATATATAAATTTCTAGCTTAACGACAATTCGCTGCTATCGAAATATTAAGCAGGATTTCGTCCTAAGAATTCGACATTGTCTGCGCTGATACAAATGTTTGATGAATGGTACGAAAATATGGACCAAGGGCAAGGCAAAATCCCGTAAGGCCTTTGACATTTTGTTTAATTATGCATGAACGCATGATCCATGCGGGCTTGTATCCGTCCCGATTAATCTTTAATACGCACACCATGTCTAATCGGCACGGTTTTTAAGCAATCAGAATCGAGTAAATGGACTAAAATGATATTAATAAAGTTACACAGCTCATAGATTATTATAATTTGACATATTTAATTTAAATATCGACGGCTATAGATATTAGATATCACGAAAGATAGTGGAAAAAGTATGAATTGAAAGAAAGAGTCTGCACGAGACTGAAACAGGTTGAAATGAATTGAATCATAAAAGGGCATATTATACACACATTACCAGAAATATGGGACATTTTGCGCCCGCGTTTGTAGGCAGCGGCTAATCGCTTGAAAAATCAAAATGGCGACTCGAACTGCCGAAGGCAAAGGACGTGTGCCATTCCTTACGAAGTAGTTCTTCGATACGTTGGTTACCGGGTTTTAAAGCAAACCATTTGTCTGGCACAGTTAAATTAAATAAGGCAACATCATTTACATTTTCACAGGAAGTTGTTTCGCGAATATTTTTCCATACATTAAGCAGTGGTCATGGAATCTCCACAGTAGTATAGGGATTGAGGGTTCTAGACCACTATTTGACATTGGCTTATACATCACTTTTTCCAAATCGAGCCAATCATCTTGGTCTTCATCTAAAATATCGCTTTATTTTTCTAGACCACTCTCTACTAACCATGGTCTGTTCACGGAGTTCTGCTATTTTTAGTATCCAATTACAATTTGTTCTTTACTGTTTCCGGGATTAGCTCTAACAGCTTGCACACCTAACGACTTCCCTTTCAGGTACATCACTTCTTCCAGGTATTCCTCATATTCTTCTGGTAGACTACTTAGGTTTTTCCTTATGTGATTCATATCTGGTATCAGCATTCCTAGGGGTTGCAGCTTTTTAAACTTCCACCTCTTTAGGGGTGTTATTAGTTTACGTACTAGTTTTGAAGTATGTGTTTCTACTTTTACGCTAGGGACTTCATTATATATATTTTCAGCCTTTTTGGTTGTCCAGTTGTTGATCTCTGGTTTTAAAGTTTGTGGGCAGTTCCAATCTACTCTTTGTTCAAATTTCACCTCGGAGTCAACCTTCCTGGTTACATGGTGACCGTAGGCGTAACTTGTGATTCCATCTCCAAGTAAGTACCTTTTATCATCAAAACAGCTAAGGGTAACTTTTCTCTGCTCGTAAGTTCCTATTGTATGCTTAACGCTTCTGATGGTGTTCATGTTATGTCTCATCCTACCTTTAGTATTTATTACGTTCTTAAAGTTCTCATGGGTGAGCTTGTTTCTGATCACATACTTTTTCACTCCTTTGGCTGTCATTCCACTTCCACCATTTTCCTTTACATAAGAGTACATCTTAGACCGTAACCCAACAAACTCAATTACTGGTACTCCCTCAGCTTCGTCTTTAAACTTTCCAATAACCTTCTTATTGTGAGTTGAGTAGTACGGAGAATCTTTTGGGTAATCTGAGTTATCCCAGCAGTCTTGCTCTTCACCGATACTCCTGAAGTCCTCGTAGACGTCATCTGTCTTTATTTCGTACATAAGACTGTCAGTATCTGTGAACAATAACTTTGCCCCATCACCGTACTCCTTCTTGATTGTATTGTAGTGAAAATCATACATCAGGGTCTTTGACAAGTCTAAGATGCTCATTCCCACGTAGCACGGTTTATTTAGAGTCAGAACTTCCTTCGTTCTTTTTACAACTATTAAGTTCTCATTCAT